GTAGAGAAAGCTCGCTCACTTTTGACACTCGACGGTGGGATCGTTTCAGAATTTAGCATCAACTGTAGCGAATAGTGCGGTTTCGTTCGGATGAGTCGCCGAATGCGTCATGTCTAGTGGTATGTTGTGTAAGCCACTATTCACTACGTAAGATTAATTTTTGATTTACACACACCAAATTGAAAGCAAACAACAACTGAATCGAATGTAAGCAATAATGAAATCGAAAACAAGCAACACCCTTTTATAAAAAATTTAGCGTAATGGATAAGATGAAGAATGAAAAGAGTAGGAATCAAACGAATACAACGAAGATATGTGAATGACGTGATGTCTACATTACACATCAAAATTTTCGATACATTTGTGGAGAAGATAAAATGTTGAGATAACATCTGGACAGTACGAGGAGAAGCGTATTCGTAATAACGATTATGAATGAAATCATTTCTATCGTGAATAGCATGATTCACGACACATCCGACCGCGGAAATTGTAGAGGAATCACAAATTTGTCTTTACGATCGGGATAGGCGATAAAAATATGCTGTGATGATCGCTTCCTGAGCTCGACGCCATTGGTTTCAATTCCATATTGCACTGATCGTTGCGCGCTTCATCACGACTCGTTTGTATCTGGATGTGAACGTCGCCGTTATTGCTCGCGCGTGCTTTACATCTGCAATTAACAATTCAACTTGCAATTAGAGTTAGCATTGAAACATTGTACTTTCAGAATTCTCAAAACACCATTTTGATGAAAGGAACAAATCAAAGCATAAAAGATACACATATGGGAAATGCAACATCTTTGTTGCATATATAGATAAAGAGCATGGTAATAATCAAAACAAAGGCACTGTATGAAAGCTGAAAAATTGTATGAAAGGTTTATCTGTTGTTTGATTGTGAGGATATTATAGACAAATTGCAGTTTCGTATTAATTGGGTCGTGAGGAGATTCAGAGTATTCCCAGAAATGGTCTAATACGGAATGTACCTCTTTCTTGACAAGGCTTTCTTCAACGTATGGTGGCAGTTGATGTGGTGCTGATGCATCATGTTCTTCATTCATGCGCTTGACCTCTGCTGGATTGGATCTGATCCATTGTTGGAATTTTCCACGAATGTTTCGATTTTTGAATACAATGAGAAAGTCGTTTTCCATGGAGTATACATAAGTCAG